AGTTTATTTCTTGCTCTTGTTTTTTCCCCTTTTGTTGAATTTATTGGGGTGACACTGGTTAACAAAATGATCAGGTTTCAGGTGTAAAATTCCTGAACACATCATCTATACACTGTATTGTGGGTTCACTGTGTCAAGTCAAGTGCCCCCCACTGGCCCCCCACAGGAAATCACCACACTGTTGTCCGTATTCACGAGTTTTTTTCTCTTTTTTTTGCTCAATTCCTCCACCTCCCACTTAGCTCCCCCAACAGCTATCAGCTTGCTCACTATGACTATGTCTCTATTTTGCTTGTTAGTTCATTTTGCTCATTAGATTCTATGTATAAGTAAAATCATGTGGTACTTGTCTTTCTCTGACTGGCTTATTTCAGTAAGCATAATGCTCTCCAGGTCCATCCTTGATGTTGCAATATTTTCTGCTTTTGTATATGGGCAGTGGTGGGGGCAGAGGTGGTACTCTGTTTCTTGCAATCATTTAGGAACCCAGGCTCTTTCCATATTGTGGATCCACCATTTTCTAGGGCCTTAGAATCTACTGCTGGATGCTCTGCATGCTACCAGCTGAAAGGAGAAGAGAGACAGTACAAGATGGCACAGGAAGTTATAATGGGCCTGACTTACAAGTGGAGCTTATTACACGGCCACTCCTAAATGTGAGTAAGGCTGGAAAGAATATCCCAACTGTAGGACCAGGAAAAAAAGGAAATTCATCCTGGTGTACACAGAACCTTCTAGCCAGGGGTCAAGAAATCCATCCTGCCCTGGCTGGGTAGCTCAGCTGGTTAGGGCTGATAAGCTGATATGCCAAGGTCGTGGGTTTGACACCTGGACAGGGCTCATATAAGAATCAACTAATGGATACATAAATAATTGAAATAACAAATCTCTCTCCCCTTCTCCTTCTCTCTCTAAAAACCAATAAATTTTTAAAAAGAAAGAAATTCACCCTAATGCTTTTTTCCCCTCAGAAATGAAGCTTTTTTCAATGAGTCCCTCACCTTCAAGCTCTCCCAAGAGCTGAAGTACCATCATCACCATCATAATCAGAACCATAAGCATCATTTACCTGGGTTATTGACTTTGGCACATAATCAGGTTTTGCTTTCTCCTCCCACTACTAATTTGCCTCTCCAGGGCAATCAAATTAGTCATCAGGCTGCCACTGACCCTGGTCCTGGGGCAGAGTACCCTGTTTATGACTGTCAAAGTTTAAAAACTAGGTCCCAAGACTGAGATTTATTCACTGGCTGCCCACAGCTCTTTAGAGATAAGAAAGTGACTCTTACAGTTTGTGCCCCTACTTTGTCCCTCCTGCTGTCTTGGATGGGCCTCTGGGTTCCTTAAAGGGGTTATGGTGATAAAGCACAATCAGAAATGAATCATTTCCTTCTGGACTGAGATGATGGACTGAGATGGTCTCCTTACCCATTAGGACTTTGGATCCAAGCTCCGCCCAGTCTAACAATGTCTATCTTATAGCTGCTGGTACAGAGAGGAACAAGTACTCTGGTTGGGCTGACAGTACGGTTGTTTACATGTCATGTCAGAGCCAAGATCCTCTGGGGAACACTAGTCCAATAGCTTCTTCCCTGTACCTTCCATATCTTCTGAGCCATATCTTCCTACCATTTGAGGAAGCCAAGTGTGGGGTCACCTATTCCAGGATAACATTCCATTCTGGCCTTTGCTGGCCTCAGCTAAAAAGAGTTCTCCTAGCCTCAATTGCACCTGGGCCTATGGGATCTACATTGATTCTCAACTGGGGATAATCTTGTTCTCCAGGAGACACTCGGCAGTGTTCAAAGACATTTTGATTGTACTACTGGGAGAGTACATCTAGTTGGTAGAGGCCAAGTATGTTGCTAAATATCCTATGATGCACTGGAAAGCTCCTCCCAACCACCCAACAATCTAGTTCAAAATTTCAATAGTGCCAAGACTGAGAAGTTCTAAACTACACAGATAAATCGTGCCCTGTGATCTGCATTTTTGCACCATGCATGTTCTGTTTTCAGGGGAGCAGGGAAGGCCTGCTTCTTCTCAGATATCCCTCTGCCCTCACACTGGAGACCAAGGAAATGAAAGAGAAAGACTCTTCAAACCCTGGGCTTGGACAGGTTGGGAAAGAAACTTCCCTAAAAATCTCTAAAAATAGGAGGTCTCATACATCCTTGGGCATAGGGAAAAGGAAGGCCAGGTTATTTTGAAGGTCAGTGTGGTGTAATGAAGTTCAGTGAGCACTGGCCTTGGAATCAGATGGACCTCAATTCAAATATTGCCCCACCACTTTTAGCTATATGACCTAAGCAAGTTCCTTAACTTCTTTTATTTTAGCTTTCTTACAATGAAATGAGTATAACACTCCTAATTTCTAGGGTTTTGATGAGGGTTGAATGAGATGACACATGCAAAGAGCCCAGCACATTTAAGGCACTCTCTTTAACACTGAGAATTCTGAAATTCACTGAAGAGTAGTTCAGTGACAAAGATCTATGCTGACCATTGTGCTAACTTATAGCATTAATGGACAACTTGGTTGCTGTAGGCTAGATGGGAAGATAAGGACCACCAGAAAGCAAGCAAGTTCAGGTCTTCAATGATGTGTTAGCAGAGCTGAAAATAAAATGCCTACTGCACCTCTTTTTTAGTTGCTATGACAGTACTACAATGGGTTCTATCCTTGGGGAGAAATGAAATGAAACATGTGTGGTTCCATGGAGGTACTTTGGCTTAACTCAGAAACATATTTTACTTGGCTGGTGTGGCTCAGTGGGTTGAGTGCCGGCCTGCAAACCACAGAATCACTGGTTCAATTCCTAGTCAGAGCACATGCCTGGGTTGCAGGCTAGTTCCCAGTAGGGGGCACGTGAGAGGCACCCACACAGTGATGTTTCTTCTCTTTCTCCCTCCATTCCCCTCTGTCTAAGAATAAAATAAATAAAATCTTTTAAAAATGTGTATTTTAAAAGTTAGCAGAATATTCACATCTTGAGGAGAATTGTGGAAGTAGCATTAAGCTGTGACAAGAAAGAGCCTATCTTGACTTCCCCCAGCCCATCTTCTTGATTTTCAGGGTTTGGAGTACCTCAGTAGTGGAAAACCTGAGGCTACAGGGAAGTGGTCCCTCATAATGTCCCCTCTGAGTCCTGCTAACTCAGACAACAGTCAGGCTAGGTCTTGTCAATCACACACACCCATTTTGCTGGGAGGGAGGACTTGATCTGCAACTTGAGAAAGATTAGCAAAAAAATGTTCACGCCCCTTGTTTCTATAAGTTCCCTTCTCAAATATTCCTGTGATGACACAACACAAACAAAGCTGTGAGTGCACATTATTCACTGCAGTGCTGTAAATGACAGCAAAGGATTGTCTGCTTCCTGATGTCCACTTAGGGAGGATGGTTACACAAATGATGGCGTGTGTGTAGGATGGAGTATGATGCTATCTTCAAAGACTAGTGCTTAAAATTCAGTATATAAGTTTATTTATAATGTTGAATGTAAAGAATGATGGGAGATAAGTCTGTAGGTATCTAAAATGTATTTCTGTCAAATTTTGCTTAAGACAGGTAAAATTAGATAGAGAGGTGTTTTAAATCATTTTCTTCTATACACACAATCTGTCCCACTATTTTTTTTCTCAAGAGCAATGGAAGAGGGTTGTAAAGAACACAGTCTCGTGCTGGGATTCCAGGTAAGGGGCTCACCATTTCTGAAGCTTCCATGTGAGAGTCAAATGGTATCTTTCTAAACCAAAGAAAACATGTGCCATGTGAACCCCCACCCCCCAAAAAAAGCAAATACAGGCCCAGAAATCGGACAAGATTTTAGAGGGTGGAAAATTAGTTGGCACCAGGGTGGAACCTGAGCACAGTGCTCCTGGTAGGGAATAGTTAGGGGCTGGCTGAAAGGCCTAAAGCACACCTTTCTCCTAATGGCCCCTCATTAAGTCATGTCCCAATTGTTTCCCTTCCTTGTCATGGCTGGTCAGTTGTAAGAAACAGAAACTCCTTCAAGCTGTCTCAACAAAAGGAGCTTTTAGCAGAAGGAAACTGGGGACTCCACAAATGTCCTCCTCCCCCAACCTTGCAGGAAGTAAAGGAAACTCAGGAAGCTGTCAGCCAGCCACAGCTACAGGGCAGCCGCAGCCTCTCTCCAGGGCCACACAGGAGCTCCACCTCTGTGGCTCTTCTCTTCCCTTTCTCTCACCAGCACTTGGTTTCTGTCCCCAGTAGAGGCCCGACATCAGGGTTGCCACACTGCCATGGCCTCAACTCTATGTAAAAATTATAGTTCCCACATCTCTGCTTGCAGTTCCCAAGTTACTCCACATACGTGGAAAGTGAAGAAATCTAATTGGCCAGCTACAGGACCACCAGGGTATCCCTTTACCCAAGCACAGAGTTGCAGTGAACCTGTATCTTCTTTTTTTTTTTTAACCAGTATCTTTAAAACCTTCACCCTCATGCTAACTTCCAGGGACTGCTGTGCCCTGCAGTCTGGCCTCTCCCCGAGGCACACAGCTGGATGTCCTTCACATCAGAAGGGCCTGTATTTGGCTCACAGCAAAAATGCCCCCTTTGCTCAAGTTCCAGCCCAAGCCAGCCTCTTTGTTCCCAGGGAAGCTACTGGGAATCTATGTGCCTGATAAGACTTCCTGACTCTCCTGTGTGTGTGCCTCAAGTTAAAACACAGGTGTTTGGGAGCAAACTTCTTGCTGTCGGCTTCTTTGGAGTCCTCATGAATCCTGGGAAGATGCTGAGCTCTCTGAATGATTAGCTGGCTAGTTGTCACCAGGGATTTCACTGATGGCCAGCAAAATGTATGTGAGTAAGAGCTCCGATGTCCTGTGAGGACTCTCTGCTGAGGAGGCCAGGTTTAAAGATCACAGTGCTGTGAGACTCTGTTTGCTGGGGCTGCAGAAGCCTGTGGGAGTGGATAGACCTGGATACTAAGGACAAAGTCCAGTAATAAATTACGTGAGCCCAGAGTGCTGGGCCATTTCCTTCTCAGGCCCTTCCTGCTCTCCATACTCTCCTCCACACCCTGAGCCCTGGCACTGCCTCCTGTCCTGCTCTTTCATAGTGCCTGGGCTGGAGGGGAAGGGAGTCAGCCAGCCATCAGTCTGGATAAGGTAAGGGAGCATCTGGGAACTTCTCTGCCTGTTGGATGCACTGGGCCTACAGATCTTTGTCCTGTCAGTTGGGAGGATCGGAGGAGTAGGTCACCTCTCAGAGGAGGGTGGCTTGGCAAGTGGGGTATTGGGAGGCTCAAATATGCGTAAATACCATAAGGCTCACCTACCAACAAGGTGGGACAGGCCTATGAAATAGAGAGGTAAAGATCCACTTTAGGAGCCTGGAAACAAGAAACACCAGCCCAGAGTCTTGGTCCCTCAGACTGAGAGCCAGCCTGAGAGACGAAGGAGGAGGAAGAAGTGTCCTGGCCCTCTGCTAGAGGAAGGCAGATGTACTGGCCAAGGGGGAAGGCAGTTGCAGAGGCTGCCCGAGCCTGCAACCTCCTCAAAGTAGGAAGGCCTTGCCATGGCATTAGGTGGCTTGAGGATATCCCAGGGGTACCTGGCAGATATCAGCTGTGATACATGTGCCATCGCATTATATACTCACAGCACAATGGTGTTATTGCCTCAATTTCATGGATATGGAGACTGAGGACCATAAAAGTTGAAGTGCCCACAGGAAGGAGCCAAGCTGGGGCTTAACTCTAAAACCCGAGTTTCTCCAAGTCACATGGGTGCTTATGGGGACAATTGTGAATGATCAAGTTAGTCACCTCTGGATGGCCTGGACACTAGGGTAAGGTAGGACTCTGCCTATCTGGTCTCAAAGCCTCCCCTGGGCGACCTGTGGGTTGTCTGGGAAAGGAGTGACTAAGGGGAGGCCACCACTGAGGGCTCCCATAGCTGCCTCACCTGAGTTATCAGCATGGTGGCCAACCATCCCAGTTCACAGAGAAGGACATTTGAGACACAGACATTGGTAGGGACTGGCCAAGGTCAGGCTTCTGGTGGGTGTGGGGGTCCCATCCCAAATCTCCTAAATTGGGTTTGTTTATTCCTTACAAATAGGCTTCCCCCTCTGGTTCTACTCTATAACTCTGTACTTGAATTTTGTTCTCAGCCATAAAACTCCTGAATTTTGTTCAGAATTTTAGTTTGAAGAAAACCAAATTGCTGTGTGGGGTTCTTTATACCTGGAGCACACTCCTGAATGAACAACTCAGCTCCATACACTTTCTGCAGAAGGCTTTCCCCATCACCTAAACACACTGGACAGCTGCTGGGGGCCCTCAGGGGCCTCTTTCAGGAGAACCTCCACCCTGTGTGTCTATCTGGGGCCCTGCTGCATCCTCAACATGGGCAGGTACTAGGGGGGCCCAGGTCTGGAAAGGTGACAGGAGGGAATACCCATCCAAGTCACCTAAATGCATTTATATAACTTTGTGTTTTTCATGGCTAACCAAGACTCTCGCTTTCACATTTTAGGGAGAACAGTACAGGGAGAAGGAACACTACATTTGTTACAAGAAAAACATTGAGTTGAAATAGGGTGAATGCCTGGCTCAGTGCCACTGGACTATAAATGCCTTGAGAGCAGGGTCTGAACCTCCTCTGTCCTCTTGTTTTCATTACACTCACCCACGCCATGGCAGAGACTGGGCACTTGACAAATGTGCATTGAATAAAGGTCTGGAGTAGTTTGTAGCAGAAGTAAAGCTGCAAGTGAGGCTAGGTTTCTAATCCAGTGCCATTTTAGACCCTCTTATCTACCTCCTCAATTAATCAAGCAACAGACATCATGGTTTTTCATTGCAGGGTGGTCAGGAGAGACTGTGAAAAGGAAAAGTGGGCATCAGGAAGTCAGAGGTGGAGATCAAAGGAGCCAAGACAGTTTGGGGTGGGGCAATGGCAGAGAAGGAGACTGGGGGGGAAATATATCCATGGTGGGGAGAAGGGGATAAAGTAGCAGCTGCACAAAGATGCAGAAGAAAGAAAGTACCTGTCCAGATTGGGGTGTCTTAGCTCTACATTGTCACACACGCCAAAGTTTTTGGCAGTGGGAGTGCCCAGGCCCTATGCCCACTACGGGAGGACTGGGTGGAAGAGTATGGCTTCACATCTTCACCATGGGCTTACCTAGGCAGAAGAGAAGGGAGCCCAGGTGAGGACCCAGGAACATTGTGTCTCTGGGCCAGGGGCACCTCTTAGGGACATGTACCTCCTAGACTGTGAGTCCCATGTCTTTATGGGAATGGCAACCTGTGGACATCGCCCTCATGCTTGGCCAACTTAAGGAGGGTAGCACTCCCTTTCAGCAGAGGAATATGTCCTTCTGCAGGCCCTCTGGGGCCCTGGGCTGCAGAGAGGGGCTGAGCTATCCCTGGCTGGATCAGGGTACATGGAAAGCCTCAGAATCTGGGCTCAGAGGCCCACTTCCCTGGTGTGCACAGCCAAACCTGGCAACACCAAGAGATCACAACTCACTGGGGTTGCTGCAATCACCTCTTCTCATTCCTCCCTGTCACTGAGGTTGGTAGCTGACATTTGCAGATAGTCCTCACTGTGGGGAGGAGGGATTTCAAGCACCTTAGAAAGCTTTATGGACAGTAAAATAAATAATAAAAGTAATCTATGCCTATGGAAAAGCCAAACATGACAGAAAGGAGCATCACGTGAAAGGAAAGTCTCCTCCCACCTCCCTCCCTCTACTTCCCACCCCAATACCTCTCTCCAGAAGAAACCGCTGTTAATGGTTTAATATAATTACTTTCAGGAAAGATATATCTGGCAAAAACTGGCAAAATGGCAGTTTTTTTAAACAAAAATGGCATTATACTATCACACATACTTTGTTTTTATTACATACTTATATATCAACACATGTATTAGATTGAGCCATATGAAACTACCAATATTTGACTATCTTGACTGCCTGGACTGGTGTGGTCCAGCTAAGATCCCTGTCACCTGCTGGATTGTGCTGACTTCCACCAAGTGGTGGCCCTTCCCACCTAGGCCAGCCATTCAATCTTCATTCTCCTTGGAGTGATGAATTCCATGTGAGAGCCCATCGGCTCCAGGGAATAGGCAATTAGCTGGTGGCATAAGACAGCTTCTAAATCTCTGGATCCCTCACGCAGTCCCCAATGCCCTTTCTGCCCACAGAATGCTTGCCCCCCTTGCTAGGGCAATGCTTTCTCAGCCTTCCAGGGTAGGGGTCCCTTCTGGGCTGGCATTCTATAGACCAGAGTCTCAATGTTGGTTTTGCTGCTTAGATCCAAATCTCTTCATTTGTAAGGTGGGATGTCTTCATAGGGTTCTTGTGTGTGTTAAATGAGAGGCTCTGGACAAAATGCTTTGCATGCCATCTGGCACACTCTGACCTCATCCTTGTCTCAGCAACCCTTTGATTTTCTCCCCAGTCCCACCTCCTCAATCACCTTTCAGCATTTTCTTTTTCTTTTCTTAAAATACATTTTTTAAAGATTTTATTTAATCATTTTTAGAGAGAGGATAAGGGAGGGAGAAAGATGGGGAGAGAAACATCAATGTGTGGTTGCTTCTCACATGCTCCCCTAGTGGGGACCTGGCTCTCAACCCAGGCATGTGCCCTGACTGGGAATCAAACTGGTAACCCTGCGGTTCTCAGGTGGGCATTCAATCCACTGAGCCACAAAAGCCAGAGCTAAAATGTATTTTATTTATTATGCTATTACTGTTGTCCCAATTTTTCCCTTTTGTCATGCTCCATACAGTACCCCCATTCCCTCCAACAATCACCCCTATTATTTCATGTCCATGGGTCATGCATATAAATTCTTTGGCTACCCCATTACCTATACTGTTCTTAACATCCCTTGGTCTATTTTGTACCTACCAGTTTGTGCTTCTTACTCCCTGAACCTTTCCCCCATGTTCCCTACTTCCCTCTCCTGACTGATATCCCTCCAAATGATCTCCATATCTACGATTCTGTTCCTGTTCTGCTTGATTGCTTTGTTTGTTTTTAGAATCAGCTGTTGATAGTTGTGAATTTATTGACATTTTAACATTCATAGTTTTGTTCTTTTTCTTAAATAAGTCCGTTTAACATTTCATGTAATGATGGGTTGGTGATGATAAACTCCTTTAGCTTTACCTTGTCTGGGAAGCATTTTATCTACTCTTGAAGTCTAAATGATAGCTTTTCTGAATAAAGTAATTTTAGTTGTAGGTCCTTGCTTTTTCTCACTTTGAATACTTCTTGCCAGTCCCTTCTGGCCTGCAAAATTTCTTTTGAGAAGTCAGCTGACAGTCTTATGGGAATTCCTTTGTAGGTAATTGTCTGCTTTTCTCTTGCTGCTTTAAGGTTCTCTCTTTATCGTTAACCTTTGACATTTTAATTATGTGTCTTGGTGTGGTTCTCTTCAGGTCCATCTTGTTTGGAACTCTCTGTGCTTCCTGGACTTGTGTGTCTATTTCCTTTACCAAATCAGGGAGGTTTTCTTTTCATTATTTTTTCAAATAAATTTCAATTTCTTGCTCTTCCTCTTCTCTTTTTGGCACTACTATGATTCAGATGTTTGTACATTTAAAGATGTCCCAGAGGTTCCTAAGCCTACCTACCCTTGTTTTTATTATTATTTTTTTTTCTTCCTGCTGTTCTGATTGAATGCTTTTTCCTTCCTTGTGTTCCAAATCATTGATTTGATTCTTGGCTTCATTCTCTCCACTCTTGGTTCCCTGTAGATTTTTCTTTATTTCACTTAATGAAATATTCATTTCTGCCTGGGTCTTATTTATGCTCTTGAAGAACCCAATGAATTCCTGGGGCATCCTGATAACCAGCGTTTTTAACTCTGCATCTGACATGTTGCTTATCTCCATTTTGTCTAGTTCTTTTCCTAGAGTTTTGTTCTGTTCTTTCATTTGGGCCATATTTCTTTGTCTCTTCATTTTGGCAGCCTCCCTGTGTTTGTTTCTGTGTATTCAGTAGAGCTGCTTTGACTCCCTGACTTAGTAGTGTGGCCTATTGTGAAAAGCTCACCTGTAAGTGGCATGGGGTGGAGTCTTATGTAGTCACTGGGGTGGGACAACCTGTGTAACCACTCTATTGCTCTGTGTGGGGAAGGGCT